ATTCCGTAAGGCAGTCAAAGGCTCAAGTACAAACAAAGGCAACTATATGTAAGTTTGCCAAAGTTTGCTGTTCTTTGCACTCTGTGCTCTGCTGCCTGTATGATAATAGATCCCTCTGATGAATCATTGTACATAATTTTGAATATTGTGTGTGCTGTTGTTGTCTGCTGGGGGAAGAAACACAAGGTGCCTTGCAATCTGATGTTAGAGGTAATTAGAGACAATTTAGGAAGCTTTTATTGAACAGTTGCATAACACAACAGCAGAGCCCTGTGGCAAAAACTATTTGGAATTGATCAATAAGAATCAAAATACTTTATTGATCCCTAAGGAAATTATGGAACCACTGATTTATACCACTTTGTTTAATTTCCATCATCACACGCTTCACTTCCTGGGAACTGGGAATGGGAGAATTTGAATTTCCCGTCCCCTTTTCTTACTTCTGTAATCCACAATACAGGCCAGTTGATAATTCTTTTTTTTATCTTTGGTTGCATCATCTTGAGATTTCCTCTGGCCTCAGGCTGTTATTGTTGATCAAAAACTGCCACATTTGCTCAAAAACTGTAGACAATGTTTCACAGTCACTGGCTGAGGTTATTAATCGACAGTGTCCACAGGGGTCAGTAGTCAAATTTCTACATGTATATTTAAATTGTCAACGTGAAAGTTGTAAACAGAATGCCAGTGCAAGAAGTATTTTATAACTATTGACCACAAAGGAAAATTTGTTTCAAACAAAAAGGGAATTCAAAGAGCATTTATGATGAACTAACACCTGAAGTACAGAAGTTAAAAAGCCCAGAAGAAATATAGGGCAAAGTGCATCTTGAAGTTCGCTGAAGAAGAGAGGTTTTTGAAAGTAATCAGATTTCGGCAAATGTCAGATTTCCCTTAAGATGGTTCAAGCTACAGAAATATACAAAAGAAAAGAAGACTTGTAAAAGGTCACTGTCCACTATATGGCTTTAGACAACACCAGCTAACCAGTTGTATTATTATACACCGATCGGGTATAACATTATGATCGCCTGCCTGATATTGTGTTGGTCCCCCCTTTGCTGCGAAAACACCTCTGATTCATCGAGTCCATTAAAGCAGGTGTGCTTTGATATCTGGCATCAAGATGTTAGCATCTTGGGAATACTGTTTCCATGAAAGGATTACATGGTATACATCAGACCAGGCTACCTTCGTCCATTCCTCTGTGGTCCAGTTCTGATGGTCACTTGCTCATTGTTGACACGTTTGGTGCCAGAAAACAGAAAAGGCTAAATTACTCTAATCATGTTAATCCCATGTGAAAGACGACAAATCAGATTATTTCACTTGCATCCATATTGTGATCAAAAATAAATAAACACATTTTTTCTATGACAATCTCTGACAAACACAGAGAGAATTAGAACCATAAGCTGCAGCTCTGTTTGGTTTCCAGGTCTAAAAACCCATGGCACGCTATCTGCACTGCAGTTAAAGGCAGTAAGTGTACAGCTAATGAACAGCCAAGCATTTAACAGCTGAAGAATAAGATAATTCCCTCAGGAGGTTATAGAAACCGAAAATGGAGCTAAAGGAGAGTGAATATTTACCTACATTTGGCTGGTGGCGACTAATACAGCTGTTCCCTCCTGTCTTAGGCTTAGCTAACCGTCTCCTGGCTGCAGTCCATTAGCATTATGACTCCTTTTGTGCTAATGCTAAGGTTTACCATCTGCTGGGTGACAGTTAAGTTAGCTCCTGATAGTGTATGTTAACAGTTTTCTGGCTGTAACACAGACAGAAGGGTGGTGTTAATGTAATGTAATATTTTCACCTAATTCTCATGATAGTCACTCAGCTCTACAGTATGTCTCAAAATATTGCTTTAAATATAGATGGGAAGAAAAAAAACACAACATTATTATGATCTATTGTAGAAATACTCAAGTCGGGTAATAAGTACTTTAAAGTGACACGTAACTTCGAACCACCTCTGCAAGCAAACTGTTTCTCTGGTGTACTGTGATGTCCCTGGGATCGATTCCTTCATGTTTATGGTGCTTGTGCCTTAAAGTGACTCATGTTTTTTGTTTAAATACATTCAATTGTAAAATGTATTGAATTATAGAGACCTGTGGTATGTCTTTGTTTTGAGCAAGGAGCAGGGCTCCATGACTCATTGTGATATCCTATGGGATCACATGCACCGTGAACTCTCCTCACAGCTTCCTGAGAGACGAAGCCTATGTGAATCAGACTGCACGTCTGTGTGGTTTGTCAGTCTGCCTGAGAGTCATGGACCACACATTCTCTGTGTGGTGCTGAGCCCCAGAAGACACCCCCCCCCCCCCCCAAAAAAAATAAATAAAAAATGCTGTGCATGCGCAGAGAACTAGCAACGGCATCTTCCATCTGCGACTCATGAATTCAACCTTGCATGACTGATGCACAGAAACTGAAGGAGAACTGCAACCTCCGTCACTTCGCATACCCTCTGTGATCTTAACGCTAATTAAGAGTTCTTTGTTTGTATCAGCTCACATTTGGGATTTTGCACAATCTGAGAAGTCTGTTGCAGACTTAACTGTCAGCACTTTGATCAAAGTGATTACAGCGAGGCATCATGTCTAAGCAAACATCCGTGCACTCCTTCCCGGCCAAGATATGAGACTAATTTGTGTTTTGTTTTTGTGATACCCTACAGCTGCCATTTCTCAGTCAGCTGAGAGCCTCCCTGTAAGCAGACCATTCTAGCTTCGGGCTTCGACTTTGATAAGAATGCTGTACATGCATCATTTTGACTATGTCCATAGTTTGCCTTTATTTCCCTAGACACGTCTGTAATTGCTATTCCAAGAATGCTCTTTGATTCCTGCTACCATGCCAGACAGCTCCGTGATACTGACTGCATGTCAAGAATAATTTGCCTGTGTTACTGGTGCAAAACAATCTCATATTTCAGCTGTTATTGTACGCATTTTTTTATTGAAAGCGTGAAGCATATCTGTCTTTGTTCTGATTTGATTGTGCAAACACGATAGAGTGATCAAAGTCGATACAGATTTTGAAATCTGTCTTTGAACTTTATCTTTGCCATCAGACTTGATCGTGATCACGTTTGTCTTCTCTTTGAGTCTCGAATGACGTTTTATCTGTAATTTGTTGGACCTATTTCACCTCCATTTGCACAACAAAAAAGCCGCCTCTTTATTAATCAATACTGAACATTGTGTTTGTAATCACTGCCACGGCCATGAAAAAAAACAAAAAAAAACAGTTTCCAAATTCAAATGTGGCAAATGGCCTCCTTAGTATCTGTCAATACTCTCGGTGAGCCCGATACGTGTAAATCTTTGATTTTTAGCTTTGTTTTCTGTGTTTGTGTGATTAACTCTCATTAGAGTGCATTTCACAGGTGTTCTGGGATGCGTGCCAGCGTTTTCCATTGTCATCGAGACAGATCGTCCATAAACATGCGGCAGGTTAGCCTTGTTTATGAACGAGGGTGGACATGAACCAGTTCAATCAATGCCACTTATGTCCCGGCTCATTTCTTTCTTCCCGACCTCCCCCACCTCCTCCTCCTCCTTCAGGTTTTCACCTCTTTCACCTCCTGCAGGTGCAGGATAACAGTAGCTTTGCTAACACACACAGTGCTCCAGCTATTCCCTATTACTTTGGTGATCATCTTATTTGGATTATACTGTTTGCACTTAGCTTTCCGTTGAATAAACAGATTATTGGAGCAGAGTGTTGCTGTCCACTCTTCCTACTTTGATTGTAGTCGTTACCTGTAATAAATAATGATCATGTTTGTCTTCTTTTAGCTATAATCTCTAAATATTCTGCCAATTTTAGATTTCTCTCTAGAAGCCCCTAGTCATTTTTTTAAAATGACTTTTGCAGCTGAAAAATAATCCTCCACACTTTCTAAATGTGCCCAAACACAGTGACAATGTCACAGAAGCCGCGCACAAGCTTCTAACCCTTTTAATTAGTTTTTAGCTCTAGTTCCACAGCAGGAAATTTCACCAGAGACTACAAACCTTTGGAGATACTACAGAGACCAGAGTCTAAATTAAGTTCTGGGGAAGTTGCCTCAAGGGCTACTCCTTTCTCAAAGTTCAGGAACTTTGAGGGTGGGACTTTGAACGCTTAAGATTTTTTTATTGGTTGAGCTTTTTATGTCAATCTTTCCAACTCATTCACCTTACTGTCAGTCTTCACAGTTACTTGCGAGATCAACTGCTAAAAGTCTAACATTGTGGGCATTTTGGATCCGTTTTGCTTGTCTGTTGACTCGGTGACCTCGTTTGCAAAGCAGCAAATTATGACATAAATACTGCTGTCCCTTGCCTTATATGGTGTCAATATTGTAGTAGATTTACATTCTGATGATAGTGTGGACTGGAGTGGAACTCTTTATTATGTAGATTTGAGAAAATAGCCATAGGTTCTTTGTGCCTAATCTTTGTTGGTCTTTACGTTGTGTTTTAACCAGTGTCCCCGAGAAAGCCTTGAGTTCCTTACAAAGCTTCCTGGTACTTAAAGTTCAGAGATCTTTGGATGGAAATACAACTTCTGTTCAATGTGGTTGCAGTTTGAACTTCATTAAGGTAATTTCGAAGCTGCAGATTTAATTCAGAATTTACACTTTTGGAAGCTAGATGAGATACATACGCCAAATATGTTTGATGCTGCAATTAGCAAAGAGCTCTAATTAGTCCCCTGGAAGTTTGCATTACATTTAGAGAAATGCAGCCAAGTGGGATCGGGAGAACCTGGAGGCACAGGGAAAACGTAACTTCCAAGTCCTTTCCCTTAATGTGTTGGAAACATGTAGCCTCGCCTTAACCTGAAAATAGTCTGCTGTAAAACACAATCTAGCCTGTGCATTTCAACCTAGTTATTTGGCAAAAAACACAAGCGCATCCAGATTGAACACC